GACTCTCCTCGGCGGAGGCAGTGTAGGGCTGAGGGGGGAGGGGTAGGGGGAGGGAGGGGCGATCTCTCTCGAAGAAATCTATCATCCAGTTTACTATAGCTTTCCATTTGGTTGCCTCTCGAGGAGGTTGTAGGAATAGGTGTTATCTGGCAAGCCATTTGTGATCCTGCGAGGGGTGGTTGAAAAGTCGGTGGCCCTCGAAGACCAATGCTCGAGCAACGCTGGCCGGAGCCGGCTTCAGGCGGCGCAACTTTGTGACCTAGCTTAGTGGGAGCGTGAGGCCTGGTAGAGAGCTCTGGGGGGCTGTTTGTGGGGGCAGTCCCAGTGTGGTCATCGGGGGTTGTAACTAGAGCAGTGCTGGCCGGTGCTGGAGCAAGGTGGTGCAACTCTGTAACCTAACCTGATGGGAGCATGAGGCCTGGAAGAGCTTCGGTTCGTGCTGAAGTTAGCCATGCTGATTGTGGTCGTAGGTGGATTGAATAGGTTTCACCTATCTGATTTGGGATGGGGAAGCTTTTTGACACACATATTCTATTGACTTGGTAGAGTCTGATTAAGAAAAAAAGTCGGTTGTTCTTATGAATGTCTTAGGACTTTAGGGTTTCTTAGGAATCCATCGTAGGTGGTTTCGATGCTGTTATACTCAGTGATCCGTGGCCGTTCAATGCCAGCACGGCGCTGGTCGGTGTTGGGGTGTTTCCCTGTAACCTGCTGATGCAGGAGCGTGAGGCCTGGTAGAGAGATTTGGGGATGCTTTGGGGTGGGCATCCCAAGGGACGACCAAGGGTTGCTGTTGGGATGACGCTGGTCGGAGCTGGGGCGAGTTGTCCTGTAACCCGGCAGGGTGGGGGCGTGAGGCCTGGAAGAGCTCAGCAGGGAGTAAGACGGTGTTGGGAAGTCTTAGAAGGGTTTGTCAGGGAACCTGAGGGTAGTGATCATTCGTGGGACCTCGGTGGCAGGTTATTGCATGAGTAATTCCCTAATAGGCATTAGATACTCAGGATCCTCCCCATGTTTCTGAATCTCATCGTGTTCACAGATTGTTCTCAGCCGAAGCCGGGTAATGGCCCCGGTATCTCAAATGACCTCAAATGACCTCAAATGTTCTCAATGACCTGTATAATTCGATATGGGACGCTGGGCCCGGTTCCCAGCACGTGCTGCTCCCCACGAATAGACTGGAGCACTTGTTCTTCAAAAAAAAAAAAAAGAGGTTTTGCCTGGCGGGCCGCTCCGTCTATTGGTGGGGAGCATCACCTGGAAACTGGGTCCAGTGTCCCTTGAATACATGACCGTATAGCAAAGATCAACGACCGAAATTTCCTAATTTGCGCGAGTGGGACCTTGCCCCCCACGAGGAGAGGAGGAAGGAGACCCGCAGAAACTTGCAAATGGAGACAACATAAAAGAACTTAAACCACCAGTACTTGACCCAGCTATTGATGCCGAGCCGGGATAGCCCCTGCGCGCCAAGTTTTGCCGAGCCGCCGGGGCACTGTTTCGTTTTCATTTTGGCTGGTGCTTCCAGCCATTGTGGATCGGTGCCCCGAAGCGCACAAGGAATCGCCCGCGGCCGATAGCTGGGCCAAGTACTGGTGGTTTAAACTTACCATTTATCTATTTATGTGTGTCATCCTTGCGCAGGGGCCATGCTAATCTTCTCTGTATATCCAGCGGCCTAGCTCAGTTGGTTAGGCATGCAAGTGGCATTCAGGAGGTTGTGGGTTCAAGCCCCATGGCGCACTTAGTGCCAACGGACTGTGATAGTCCTCTGGATACCCTTGATCGGTATTAGCGGGGTCTATGACCAACACGGGTGTGAGTGTGAGCGCGAGTGGGTTGTCTGTGGTGTGTGGGAGAGTGTTGGCCATAGCCTCTGCTGCTACTGGATGAAGGGTGGGGAACGATGAGAAAGGGAGGCACAGCTACTGGCAGGTCTCGGTCTTTGTGTTAGCCAGACCCCCACTGGCGGCCCCAACCCTATACCCTAACCATTAGGGGCAAGGGGCAACATGAAATCTCCCCTTCACAGAGAGAGGAAACTATGCTTGCACGGGTCCCCTCTAGATAGTCTGAGGAGTAGGTAGTGGAAGGCAAAAGAAACAGAAGCTGAGAGAAGAATATAGAAAGAAAAGAAAAAAATCTTCTCTGTATCATTCCAATTTGAACGGATGTCCCAAAGGACAGAACCTAAACTTACAAAAAGGAAAGGAATGCCTTATTTTTCCTCATCCATTGCCCTCATTCAGTAGTTCGTTTCGTCTTCTTCCGCACCAGGCAAGTGGCAAGTGTGGCACGTGCGAAAACAAAGTTTTTCAATCGTGCGGGGAACCATGACAGCACTCAAACATCAAGCTGGTTTGGCATTCTTTTCGCAAGGCATGTAGTGTAGGCATGCCCTAACTTCCCTATAAGCCTTGCATTATTTGCTCTTGTTTATGGCAGAGACACACAATCATTGTCCCATAAAACGAACACAGCCTGAGGGCCTCACCGCTCATCGCACAGCACAGGAACACAAAAAGAGTGAGTGCCTCTGTCCAAAGAAGGTAGCAAAATACACTCGTTACTATTTATATGCTGATAGTAAACACATGAATCATCCCATTTTCTGGCGTGCTCCAATGCCTAAGGGTCTTGGGTGGCAATACCTAAGGGGCTTGCAACAAGATGATCTAGGAAATGAAAAGAAAAATGCAATTCATTTCGTTTCATCACTGCCACACGGCCTCACAATTGCCCTTCAATCATGGAAATGGAATCGTTAGGTGGGTGTCAGACCATTGCCTTCGCGAGGAAGCCATGTGAAAAGTCTTGCAGGCTGGGGGGGATTTTGTTTGTGAGTTCTCCCAGGCTGCCTCCAAGGGACCAGGGGCTAGGTCCCACGGGCAACGTGGATCCAACTAGGAACCTG